CCGATTCATCCGATTCCGATCCGGATCGCCGATTCGCCGATCCGGATCGCCGATTCGCCGATCCGGATCGGTTTTTGAAAAGCCCGATCCGGGTCACCGATCCGGTTTTTAAACCATTGGTTTTATTTGAAAACGATCATCTAGTAGAGTACTTAGATGGATCCCAAAATTTTGAATTAGAAAAATTCTTTCCAAATAACTATTTTGCTCGAGGAAGTTGTTGTACACCCTTGCTGGAGCATGCAATACGTGTTGATTATTAAAGGGTGCAGCTTATATTATGCATGAATCTTACGTGATCAATAGTATGTACGGTCACGATTTCAAGCCCGTCTACCTTCACTAAAAGTTGATTTCCACATTGAGTTATGAATCTAAAGCTTCAAAAATATTGTGGAGGCAAAAGTTTATATAAGGGTGAGGCCCTAAACAACCAAATTAAGACACACCTCAAAAATTCACTACAAGAGGTTGTTTTGATCTTAAAAATCCTCTAATTGATCATCTCGATCTCAAGATGTATGTACATGAAAAAAATTGATTTCAAGTCTTGAAAATAATACATTTTCTTGGACCGTCAATTTTCAAGATTTTTAAGTGTTCATAGATATGTTCAATCTATTTTACTTTTAATCTTTTAATTTTATAATTAAATATAAAAATAAATATTCAAGCCATCATAAAGATTTTCAGTACTGAAACAACAACTTTTGATGCCATTTGAAGGTAGGTCTTACTTTGATTATTTAGGGCCTTGGCCATATACAAACCACACCCATATTGAAACTATGAAAAAACAAAGGTGCTTGAGTTAATTCGGCCACAAAATAACAAAAAGAAGTCCCACTTGTAAAACATAAAAAATACGGATTTTTTTTTAATTCCAAAAAAATAAAGGAATTTCTGTGTTAATTTCCTTATAACAACACCTTATATAAAATTTTTCCTTTATGAAATCCATATTAATACGCTAAATTAACCGTTTATGAGAGTGTGCCATTTCAAACGAAATTTCGTTGGCGAAACTTAAATTTCGGTACCTCGAACCGAAAAATGGAGCAGCCGGCTTAAAAGAGTGGGCTACAGAGCCGAGCCCATCCGAGACCCACGTTGTTTACACGTGCGGAAGCTCCAAGTTTAAAAGTTTTATAGGTTGTGCACGAAACACAAAGTAAATTATAATACGCAATGTATCAGAAGGAACAGAAGCCATTGCTTAGAGCTCAGCGCTCTGCATCTCTTTGCTCCCTTCTCAGACACGTGCGGTGAACGTCCTCTGCAGCTTAGAGAGGGAACCATACCGCCCTGCAACAATCCACATTCCCATCTTTCCATTTTGGGAAACCCTAGTCATTCTCTTCTGCACTTCCTGTCGGTCTCTGTAGAGAGACGGGGAGGAAAGAGACGCCCAGGAGGAACGGAGAGATCTAAGAGAGAGAAAGACAGTGACCCAAGTGAGAGAGTGAGAGACCCAAGTGAGTGATCAAGAGAGAGAGAGAGCCAAGAGGGATAAAGAGGCCAGAAGAGAGAGAAAGGGTGAAACCCAAGTGAGAGAGAGAGAGAGAGAGAGAGACCCAAGTGGGATATGAAGGGAAAGAAATGGGTGAATCAGGGAGGACAACACCTGTGGACCGCGACATTGAGCAGGTCTGCTTTCCGTGAAGGTTTATCCATTTATGGAAATATTTAGAGTTTTAGACAAGCAGTTTGGTTCTCCCATTTTTTAAAAAAAATTGGTGCTTTTTTTAATGGTCAGCATTGTTTTGTTCTGTGTTGGCCACATGGGTTCCTGTTTTTTTATGATTTCTGGTGTTTATTGTAAGAGTCATGGGAGAGGCTGGGTCCAAGTTTAAAATCTTTAGTGTGAGAAATGGGGTGGTTTATTTTTCTTAGCAGAGGCCACTGAGGGTGTGAAGAGAGAGAAACAGGTATGTCAAATTACTGAAGATTTAGTCTAAGGAAGTTCTGATTGTTTGTGGGTTTACAGTGGAGATCTTGATACAGTTGGGTGTCAATGTTGTTGCTGACACTGAAACTTTCCTGGCTATGTCCTGAACCAGAAGTATATGAATCTTTTGAACTTGGCTCTGGATATTTAAGAAAGCGTATGGTCAGTGTCACACTTGTTGGAATTTTAAAAATCCTTTTTCCAGGATTTTACATTTTTTTCATTCTCTTCTGAGAAGGCAAACAGGAAATTTTCATGGTTTAAACAGCCTTTTTTCTCTTTTTTTCCCCAGGAAAATGAATGTCCAATTCACATTCTGTGATTTATTTTATTTTATTTTATTTTATTTTATTTAGTAATTATAGTCGATGGAGTCTTTATTTGGTTTAAACTTTTAAATTTGAAATCTATTTCAGGATGGTGCTGATCAATTTCTGTCCCGTCATTCTGCGATTATGATCACTAGAAAAATAGACTGCAATATGTAATTAAAACATGCAAACTCCATGCTTATTGCATTATATTACATTATGTGTGATTTGTCTGTATGTACTCGTAAATTCTATTCAAGAAAAAATATTATGCTGTCCTACAAAGCAATTTGTGAAATAGTTATTGTGTTTTTGCGCTGTTCAATACTCATGTCATCTGCCTTGATACTGATAGCTTTGATCTAGCAGCCAGTTCTAATATTATGAATAAAAAATATATTTTCATGTTAATTTCTTAAATTATACAAAACCTAGATTGTCAGAATTACGAAGCTGCAATGTAGCATTCCATATGAGAAAATTATATGAGTATATCTCGCTTTCTATACTTGTAGAATATAGGACTTTTTGGTGGGCATTATTTTTCTATTCTTTTTCTTACTTACTTTTTGGGTAACAAGGTTTAAAATGAACCTTTGCTTTTGATGGGATAAGAAACTCAAATAAGAACAGGGATGATAAAAAGAAATACTCTGAGAAACAAATTATTATGAATTTTATTAGGTCATTCCCTTTGTATTTTAATTGACTTCTGGATTTGGATGAACATTTTGCAACTTGTGTAGGCGATCATATCTTTGAAGAAGGGGGCACATCTATTGAAGTATGGAAGCAGAGGAAGACCCAAATTCTGCCCATTTAGGCTTTCCACGGTAGGAGCCAAATGAACTCCTTATTTCCACTGGTCTGCTTGCTGAACCATGCGGGATGAGTACTTAGAGAGTTTTTCTATTTATTGATAGGGCTGTTATCACTTTCTAGACCCAAATTCTACCCATTTAGGCTTTCCACGGTAGGAGCCAAATGAACTCCTTATTTCCACTGGTCTGACTGCTGAACCATGTGAGATGAGTACTTTGAGACTTTTTCTATTTATTGATAGGGCTGTTATCACTTTCTACAAATTAGAGTTTCGGCACTAACATACTACCTTAGACTCTATTAATCGTAATAATGTTTTAATAGTACTTGATTTTGTCACAATCTAATTCATTAACAAATTGGATTGACAACCCAGCCAATTTGTTGTGGTCCATTTTCTAAGTAATCTAAAAAGAAAAAAGAAAAAAGAAAATAATCAGTTTTTTTTTTCTAAAGGATGTTTTAAAATTGGCTGAAAATCAGACAAAGTTGAGTTGAAATCAGGTGAGAAAAAGTCAGATTAATCATAATGAGCCAATTATTTCTCATATACTTTAGTGCCTTGTAAAATTATACAGTTCCTCTTTTTGGGTCATACTTAGAATTAAAAAAAAAAACTGTGGCTTTGAGTGGTATTACTTGTGTTTATATATAAGTGGAAGTATCAATAACATGAAAATCATGACCAGAAATGTCACTTTCTTTCAGGATGAAAAGGTTTTGATTTGGTTTTCTGGGAAGGAGGAAAAACAGTTAAAATTAAGTTCGATTTCAAAGATCATACCAGGACAGAGAACTGTAAGTTTTTGAATTGATGATGACTCTAGCATAATTTTCTTGTGATTTATTGGTTATGAGTAATATTTTTTATAACAAGTTATTCAGATCAAAGTTTTAGAAGTCTGGCTCTACTAAGCATACCCCATGTCTTCTTGCAGGAAAGATTTCAGCGCCAACCTCAACCAGAAAAGGAATATCGTTCTTGTTCTCTTATTTATGGAAATGGACAGTCACTTGATCTGGTATCTATTTACCTATTATATGTTACACTTGTTTCAAATGATGCATTCATACTTTACAGATACATACGTACACTAGTGTATATACATTCATACAGATACATGTATATGTGCATGTATGTATATACTATCATTAAGAGTGTAGGAATTGTACATGCACGTGTCTGTGTGTGTGTATAGCATGTATATGCATACTATCATTAAGAATGTAGAGGATTTTAACTTGATTTTCCTATCCTTCTTTCTAATAATCAACAGAAGTTTATTTTGTGTAATTTAAAGAATATCATGATGATCATCATCATCATCAAAGCCTTTTCCCAAATTTTTGAGTTCGGCTAATGTGATTTAAATAACATATAAATATGTAACTATCAAGAGAGAAAAAGAATATATTAAGGTGCAAATGAAAAAAAAAAAAAGGATCTATGGAGGTGCACAGCAGAACGTTGGCCAGATGCTTCAACTGTTTTCCTTTCGATGCATCAGGGTTCAATAAATCCATGTCTCCATTTATCAATGATTAATCCTTCATTTCAACTAGAAACTTTTGTTAATTTCATATTTTTAGAAATAGTTTTTGTGCTCATAGGTTATGACAAACACATGTCTAAATCCACATTGATGATCAAGGAAACCGTGCTTTTGAGTGTAACCACGGTTACACGCTGCGGGAAGTAGTCAAAGTATAATACAGTCCAATGGACCATTGTACACTGCTAGTGTGTTGGGATCATCAATGTTCAATGAAATGATGGATGGTGATGGAGCGTGAGTGTACCTTGCGAACATGGAATGACCTCAACAGCTGTCTAACTCTCTCTCCATCATGATCCATCATTTTCATCGAATGGTAATGGTCCTATTGAGTTATCATTTTCCATGATCAATTGGATTGCATCAAACTTTCTCTGGGTTCTGCTTCTGTATCTTACCGTAATCTAATAAGTATTTGCAATGCCATTTACTCAGATATGCAAGGACAAAGAGCAAGCAGAAGCTTGGTTCGTGGGGTTGCAAGCCTTGGTTTCCAGATCTCGGCATTTCAAAATCTCTACCAAATCATGCAGTGATGGCGGGGTACATTCCTATTCAAACAGCCCGGCTAGTCATGTACGAAGGAAACAGAACTCTGGATTTCAAGAGGATTCAGCAAAGCACTCGCAGGTTTGTTACTGGATCACATTGTCTCAACAATGTATATACTTCTTTAATCTTTTCTGTTTGGGACCCACCATTGATGTCATGCACTAGGCCGCTGATATCATGCACTAGTGGGTCTCACACTATCTCCTTTGCTGTCAATCATCTCTTCAGATGGTGATGACCCCAATGGGCTATGACTGTGCATGGTCTATTGGATTGTACTACTATACTTGCCGTTTTTCATGTGATCATTTAATAAAATTATGCCTTTCATTCTTGAGTTCTTTCTAGATTTCATGGTAGAACAGAGTGGATCTCTATCTCATCCACCAAATGCTTCGTTTGATGGTAATCACAGGATACTATTCGCCCTGTGAAGGTGCCCAGCTTGTATGGGAGCCCCTCTGGTTCCTCCAAAGAGAAGTCAGATTTAGAGTATTCTTTATACTCATTGGATATGGCATCCTTCTCTGAACCAAGAAGATTATTAGATGCCATGCTGACCCTACATGAAGAATCAGACCATTTCAGTAAACAGATGGGCGAGACAGCCCTTAGTGAAGAGTTCAAGATAAATTTGCCAAGTGGAATGAGCTCTTCTTCTATGGAAGAGAGAGATTCCTTGAGCGATGTATTAATGTGGGGAGAAGGAATAGAAGGGGCAACTTTAGGGGGTGGAATTCACAGATCTACCAGTACTTCTGGAATAAAATTTGATGCATTAATACCCAAATTACTAGATTCAACAGGAATGCTTGACGTTAGGAGTATTTCATGTGGTAGAAAGCATGCTGCTCTAATTACTAAACATGGGGAAGTCTTCTGTTGGGGAGAGGAGCGCAATGGAAGGCTAGGCCATAAGATTGATATGGACGTTTCTCACCCAAAAGTAGTGGAATCTCTTTCTAGTTTAGACATAGAATCTGTTGCCTGTGGTGAATACCACACTTGTGCTTTGACCGATTCTGGTGAGCTTTATACGTGGGGTGGAAGCTCTCCTTGTGAAGAACTTTCAGGAAACAAAAGCCAGTGGTTTACTAGAAAAGTTTTGGGTCCGGTAGAGGGTATCTCCATCTCAGGAATCTCATGTGGAGCCTGGCATACTGCTGTTGTGTCCACCTCTGGTCAATTATTTACATATGGGGATGGATCCTTTGGGACCCTTGGTCATGGAGATCTCAAGAATTATTTTCAACCGCGAGAAGTTGAATCTTTGAAGGGTTTAAGGGTGAAGTGGGTGGCTTGTGGCTCTTGGCACACTGCTGCTATAGTAGACATTATAGCTGACCATTCAAGAGATAATCTTAACCCTGGTACTCATTGTGGGAAATTATTTACTTGGGGAGATAGTGATAAAGGAAGACTCGGGCATCAGGATAAGGAAAGGAAGCTCCTTCCCACTTGTGTTGCTTCTCTAGTGGAGCATGATTTTGTTCAAGTGGCATGTGGGGAGGCTCTGACAATTTCATTGACGAGTTTGGGTAAGGTATGTACCATGGGAGCCTTTGCTCTGGCAGAAGGCAAATCTGCCTCAGTTGTGGAGGGTAAGTTGAACGAAGAGTTTGTGAAAATGATTTCATGTGGCTCTTATCATGTTGCAGTTTTGACATCAGAAGGGGAGGTTTATACATGGGGAAGGGGAGTAAATGGACAACTTGGGCATGGTGATGTGGAGGATAGGAATTCTGCAACTTTAGTGGAGGCCTTGAGAGATAGGAAGGTAAAAAGTGTGGCTTGTGGGTCAAATTTCACGGCAGTGATTTGTTCTCACAAACCCATTTCAAGCATTGATCAATCAGTTTGCACTGGTTGTAGAATGGTTTTTGGGTTCACTAGGAAGAGGCACAACTGTTATAACTGTGGATTTGTGTTCTGTCATGCTTGCAGTAGCAAAAAGGCCATGCATGCATCTCTGGCACCAAGTAAGAGAAAGCCCTATCGTGTATGTGATCCTTGTTTCTCTCACTTAAAAAGATTTGTGGATTCCAGCCTAAATTCGGAGACACCCAGTTCTCGGAAACTGTCAATGATGCAGAAGGTGACAGTTCCCAGTCTGAAACTGGAGAAGACAGATACGACATTTGTTAAGCCCCAATTATTGTCACCAAAGCTATACGGTTATGAGAGAAATGAGTGTTTAGAGAGAGAAACATTGAACAAACAGGGAAGAAATGCTCCTGATCCATCTTTGTTATGTGGGGGACCACGATGGGGACAGGTAGCATGCCCCCCACAATTTAGCTTATATAATAAAGAGAACAGCCTTTCACTAGCCATCATTCCGGCAAAAAATATGCCACAAGGAGTTTCTTCTTTTCCAAAGGAGCAAAGCCACCCAAAAGCAGTGGTTGGAATTTCTCATTCTGCCAACTCAAGTATCCCCAATTTTGATTCCAAGGATTCAAAAGAATCAAATAAAGTTCTTGCTGAAGAATTGCAGCGGCTACATGCTCAGGTAAAACTCTTTATTTGTTGCTATGGGCCAACCAGGTGCTTGCCCTTGATGTTTACTCGATTGTCTTTCATCTTTCAAGCATTCAATCTTTGTTGTTTTGACTCAAAGAAACATGTGGTTCTTAGTTCTCTACAATTTGAAGTATTAAATTCTTTTCAACTGTTTGAAGGTACAATAAACTTTAGAGTTCTAAGTGCATGTCGTAGACCCTTATTTTATTTTAAAAATAAAGATGAGAAATACAAAGAAACAAGTAGCTGAAAAGAAATTGAGCTATGAAAGAAATGAATTTTTACATTTTCTAGCATTTGAGGATAAGGTTTTTGAGAGTCACAGTATTCTTCTCATTTGAATGCTTACTAGTTTTTGCTCGATAGATGTTCATAAAGTGTAAACAATGTCTTTATAACGGAAATTGTCAGACATATAGTGTTGGTGTATTGATGTTGGACATAGATGTTCTATGATTGACACTCTCAAATGTTTAGTTGTGACTGATACTAGATTATAAAACCAGGTAAATAACTGGGTTTAAGATTACAAAAGGTTGATGTTTTACGAACTTAATTATGGTGGCCATTTATAGTTCTTCTTTTACACATACAGAACATATTTATCTCTTAGCATCATAGCTTTAAAAGGTAGTGACATATTTTCATTTGCTGAGATGTTTTCAACTCAGGAACTCCATAGCTTTAGAGTGGACAGCGTTTATTCATATAAATTGCTCCCTTGAACACACACAACTTCAAGGGTTCCAACCCTCGACCTGCCTCATACAGACTGGGTATCTTATCAATGAAGCCATTATTTGGCTTATGACTTGTAATACCGCAATATTCTGGACTTAACAACCACGATCCTGGTGGAAGATTGAGTTATCAGTCATGAATGCCTTGACTTCCTCGCATTCCATGCATCTTACGTAACCCGTACTTATTAAGATTGTTAAGGATGTTTCTTAAATCTAGATATTTCATTATCAATATGATTCTAGATTTACGTCTGCGTGATATCCTAATTAATCTTTGAAAATATGGAAGCCTTTCTCAGACTCCCTCTACCAGAAATTAGAAGCGTTTGAGTTCTCTAAATATATGTTCACATATGAAACATGTGATTGTCACAACTTTGTATGAAACATGTGATTGTCGCAACTTTCAACTATTGTGATAGCATTAGCTATTTGAGATATTGTCCTTGTAACCATATGCATGTTTCCAGGATGCAAGCTTTACAGAATACAATATTTCCAAAATTACGATTGGTCCTCTATGCTCTTCTATATTTTAATGGCCTAGCCCAACAGATTGATGGGCTACCTCATTTTTTAAAAGTATTGGCTTTGATTTCTAGTTCTTCTGTTTTTTCTAAGTTGAGCTTCATTGGTTTCCTCACTAACCTATCTGCTCTTGTAATATAGGCTACAAATCTTCAGAAACAGTGTCAATTGAAAGATGAAAAAATCCAACACTACAAGAAACGCATTGAAGAAACTTGGTCACTTGCCAGTGAGGAAGCTGCTAGGTGTAAAGCAGCAAAAGAGGTCATAAAAGCATTGACATTACGGGTATGCTTTCAAATACATAGAGCACCAAAGGACTATTTTCAAGTTTGTTGCACTAATGAAAAGAAGCATGTCTGTTTTTCGAATAAATTAAGAGATAAAGAAAGATATACGAACCAATGATTGTTTATCTAATAAATAGAGAGATAAAGAAAGAAATATGAACTAAAAATACAAAGAACTTTGATCTTTCCTTTAGATAAAAAGAAGCCCCAAGAAATATGAACTAGAAATACAAAGAACCGTGATCTTGCCTTTCAATAAAAAAAAGTCCCTTTTATATATTTATATTTCCTTCTTTTTCTCACTGACCTACTGGTAAACTTTCAAATTTTTGAAGTCCTTCCATTGGCCTGTCATAAAGGCCCAGGGCTGTGTAGTTTGATGATGGCCTTCTTCCTGGACAGTCAGTGTATCCTGAAGATTGAGGTTTTGGAGTCAGAGGTAGTCCATGATTCCACAATAGGGAGCAGCCAATTCATAAATGGTTAAGTTAGACATATGGATCTAACCAACTATAGTACTGAAAGTTCAAGGAGCGGAAAACATTAGTGAGTTTAGGAATTTGCCTGGCAGGTAGTGCATTGGAGTTTCTCTATGATCTTCAGCCACATTATATCTACATAGACAGAAGGTGCATTAATGAGCGCAGATTTTGAATGGCACATAAGTAATGGTTCAAAATGTGGACAGAATTAGAAGATAGCTCCTTTGAACAAGCTTAACTTTTAGAGAGATTTTATTTATTGAAAAGCTTTATTGGAATGTCTTTCCCATATGAAAAGCTTTATTGGAATGTCTTTGCCATATTTTATGTTGGTCAGGGTCCAACTATGCAGTAAACAAATTAAGCAAACTGGGAATTGAGTCGCATACATTAACACAGGTGGTATCCTCTAACTTTCTTCCTCTCAAACTCAGAGAGGAATAGGAACTTTTCAAAGGTGAACGTGGAAGCTACTAAGTCCTGGATAAAATTTCATCTATGGTGCTTTCTCTCTCTCTCTCTCTCTGGGCTTGTGGGTTCTCACTCACACACTGTGCCTCTCTTTTCTCTCTAGATTGGGTTGTCATTTCATTCATAGACCTTGGGAGGCATGCCCCATCCCTAGAGAGTTCTCTTCCTCCCCTTTCCAAGATAAATTTGGATCGGGTCTTCATCTAGATTAGGACAGGATTAGAAAGCCCAGCCTCATTTCTACTAATCCTGGATTGACTATCTCTTCAGAAACTACAAACATTCCCAAATCCAATAGGATTACTTGCCAATCAATCTTTCTCTTTCAACTTTTTCCAATTTATATGCAAGCACCAAATGGAGCCCACATCCCTATGTACACCCCTGAGAGGTGTCCCACTTTCCGAAATTATATATTATCCCTCTATGGACGCCTGCTCCATTGGGTCTGTTGTATACGGCTTCTTAGAGCTCTGGCCCATAGGTAGGGCAATGGACTGCTTTGAACGGTCTCTGTCAGAGTAGTGTGGCTTTATGGCTTTGGAGGGACCCAAGGATGTATAGAGTAGAATCAATGATTGGGTATGTTTCCGTGGAGGATTCTAGACATCATAGAGAATGTGTTGAGAGTTAAAATGATGATCTAGATTATAGTTGCTGGGATCTCTCAACCTAAGTGATGATCCAACTCTCGAGTCTTCTTCTGGCACTCTGAAAAAGGGATCTTCAAGGGATCTCGATTGTTAAATTTTGTGATCGCGATCCCCATTGTTTGGGATCTCAATCCCCACTGTTAAGAACCTCGATCCCAATCTTAAAAACCAAGATTACTAAATTGATGATTTTTTTTATTTATAGACAATTAGCAATACAACTAAAACTATACTTTTAAAACATTTTATAGTTTCATTGCTTGCTGGCTATAAATAAAGGGAAAAATTTTATATATGGCATCAACCTTATACTGAATGAGTAACGTGCACCTAAAAAAACCCACTAGAGAAGGTTGTTCCTATGCTAGAAAACCCTCAAATCTATCATCTTGACCTCGGGATTCATAAACGAAAAAAAGGGATTTCTAGTCCTAAAATTAGTTCATCTTCTAACATATTATCTGGACCTTCCATTTTCAAGGTTTTCAAGTATTTATATATCTGCTTGATCGTCACCATTGTTTGGAACTTTAAATTTCATAATTGGGGTAAATAATAGATTTTCGTATCATTGAAATACTTAGCGGCACCAAAACTGCATTTTTTACATAGATTTTAGGTGCACTTTCCTTCTAATAGTATCAGGCTGACACCTTATACAAACTGCACCCTAAATAAATAGATCTCTACTTTAAAAAGTTTACATAGTCTTAGATTATATGTAGTTTTTTAAGGTTGGGAGCAAGATTCCCTAAAGGTTGGGATTCTTCTCAAAAGGTCGTAATCAAGATCCCCAAAAGGCTGGGATGGAGATCTCCAAGTATGGATGGTAGACCCAATCGTGGAGATCTTCTAGCTTAGTCCCTGGCTCCCAATCCCAATCCCACTCCAATCCCCCTTCCCGATCCCAAAGAACAAAACTAATGCCTTTGGGCACAGATCTTAAACTGCTGTGAAAACTCAAATAAATGCCAGAACTCATAATTTTCCAGTAAAAGCTAATTGTAATTCTGAATATATTAGGAAATAATCTACCATCTGACTACAACTGTTGCTAAAAGTTTTAAGAAATTCATATTTGTAACTGATATTTATTGTGGGATTCGCATAACATCAGCGCCCTTTCCTTTTTTGCAGCTAAGGGAAATGTCAGAGAAATTATCATCAGAAAAAGAATCAACCGAGGTGGCCACCCCACGTTTGCTAAGCATTGTTTATAGACCTCAGACAGAGAGGGAATCAACTAAAGTAGGAACACCACGTTTATTGGATATTGTTAATGGACCTCAAACTTTGAAAGTATCGACCAAAGTGGTGCCACAAGATTTAGAGGACCTCAAATCAATGGATGATAACACATATAAGGATACTCCCTCTGTCCGTGCTATTAAAGATAAGCAGACTAACGGTTTATGCAGCTCAGTTCTTCCATCTCATGATATGTTGACGAACTCCAATGGAAGATTTCACTCTCAAACCCTAGCTAAATTTGCCGATGGGGATGACCAACCTTCAAGTGAAGGTACAAGAGAAAACTGTAAGAAACCAGAGAATGGGTGCTTATCGGAGTGGGTAGAACAAGATGAACCAGGTGTATATATTACATTGAGGTCTTTGCCGAGTGGCCAAAAGGAACTCAAGCGTGTAAGATTCAGGTAATTCTTACAGCTGAAGCACTTATTGAATTTACCTATTGGATAACAAAAAGAAAGTAAAGATTTCTGCAGTTGTTTGTTAGTAGATTAATAGATCTATATTGATGCGACAAATTTCTTGTTCAAAATGTATATTTTCAGCCGAAAGAAGTTCACTGAGAAGGAAGCAGAGCGGTGGTGGTCAGAGAATCGCTCGAGAGTCCATCGAAAATACAATATTGACAGTATAGGCTCAGGCACGAACAGCATGAGGACCATATAAAGTTTCTTCTCTCTAGCTGTCAAAGAGAACCGAAGAGAGAACTCTTCCTAAGATTTTTGAAAGAAAAGAATAATACAGCAAATAGAAGAGTTCTTCTTTAGCATTGCAGAGCTCAAAACAGGCATAGACAATGCTGCGGTTGATTGAAGTTAGCCATGCACAAGAACAAGAAGAGCGATCTCAAATAATACGAAATCAGGAGCAATGAGAAAGGCCCATCCATTACCAATCTATGATTAGCCAGCCAGTGTTTATCCAAGTTCAAGGTTCTTCCTTTGTCATGGATAAGAAGATGAATGGAAAGGCTGACTTGCATCTGCATCAGTGCCGAAGCAAAGATTGTCGACAAACACACTGATCCCAAGTATATATACACCCACACATCCAAGCCAACCAGGCTTTTTGGAATTTGAATATTGTAACCACTTCCCTTGTATAGTTGATAATGAATCTCTCTCTCTATTTATTGGTTGTTCAATGCTTTACTGTGTAGTTGCTCAATCATGGAAACATCAAGAGTGGGAATCAACATCATTGGTGTGATTTTTGGAAGTGTAGGTCAAAATTGCATCCCAGAAATTCAGAGGCTGTTGTAAATGGTAATTCATAGTGGATGGAAACAATGAGAAATGAAGAGAATGGAGATTGCTTCACTGAAGGTACTAGTATTTGAAGCTTAAAAGAATAAAAAAATATCACTGAATTCATCAAGTTTTTGCTAATATATATATAAGAATGCAGACTTTAAACACGCAGTAAAGGATTATATAGCGGGGAGATTATTTACAAAATTTATTATTTAAGAGCAAGCAAATTTGTTTATTGCTAGGGCTATTATCTAAACATAATTTGAAAAGGGAACCGAACAATCTTTATTTTATTATTTTTGGGAAAGAGAATCGACACATAATAGACATTTATTCTTAATTTACAGCATATTTTATTTAAATTATTTAGAGAATTTACACTAATGTTCCTTATAATTAGCTGTAAATTTACACGGCCCTTTTTATTATTTTTTCTAAATAACCTTTAGTTCGGAGCAGTGTTTGAAAAATTGGTGACCCGATATGGATCGGGAATCACTATGACCGTCTTGGATCCGGTAAAAAACCGAGATTCGATTTTCGCCGATTTTTTTGCGGAAACGATTCCAACTAATAGTTGCGAATCGCTCATTGTAAGGAATTAAAGTGACCAGAACTAATAGTTTGGAATCGTTCATTGTGGAAAATGAAAGCAATCCAAAACCAATAGTTTACTGTAGGGCATTAAAGCAATCTCATACTAATACTATGGAACTACTTATTGGAAAGTGGTCCGGGATTAATGGCCTTGAATGGGGATATTTTAGAAAAAGAAAAAAGATTTGAGCGTAAATATAAAATATGACAAATATTTTCTAAAGGAAAAAGTCACGGTACTTCCCCACTCAAATACTTTTCCTACCTCCTCCATCACCCAGCCATCCGATTTGAAAGTAAGGCAGCCATCCGATTTGAAAGCAAGGCACTAACAGCATGATCTTAATTTGATGTATCAGAGTGTTTTATTTTTAATTTTTTTTGTAAATCATATGAAGATCAAATTTGTTACGAGTCATCATCAATGGGGCGCACTTAAAAACTATTTAAAAAATATTTTTTAAAAAAATAAAATAGCAAAAATACCTAAAACTTTTAAAGGCATTTTGGTCCTTTTATTTTATTAAAAATAATTTTTTTATTTTTATTTTTATAGGTACGAGTTTAAGAGAGGAGTTGACCTCTAAATTTTGATCTCAAAATGTTATGTAGAAAAAATTAGAAACATTTAAATTAGATGGCTGAGAAATAGGAGATGCAGAAAAAATGTGCATGGGTGGAAAAGTGTAGTTTCCCCCTTTCTAAAGTAACGTTAAGTTTGCCGCAAACCCAACCCCATTTTTTTTTTTGAGAAAAATTCAAAAGTATTATTAGAACATCACAACTTAAGAAACAACACCATTAGAGTCAACCATCTATGCCATCGCAATACCCTCTTTTGTAAGACTAGCTGCCAAACTATTTGCCTCCCGATACATATGAACAAAGGAAATTGAAAAAGAATTTTAGAGATCTAAAATTTATAGCAAAAATGATCGTAGCTCCCAAAAAACCTTTTTTTCTTTGTTGCACCAATTAATGATATTCAATGAGTATCTTTCAACAATACAACTAGCTCCTAAGAGTCTGGCATTAAGAATCTTTAGTCCTTGAAGGAAGGCAATGATTTCAACATGATTTGTTTAATTCTCTCCCAAAGGACATGCGTAAGTAAACAAAATAATCTCATCACGATCCCTCATAACTCCACCATACCCTGCAAGCCCAAGATTTTCTAAATAACTTTCATCAAAATTCAATTTAAATACCCCAATCGGTGATCGAGACCACCTGTTCCTAGACCTGCACTTTCGGACACCCAATTGGAAAGTGTTGCAAAGGGTATACCTAAAGTTCACTTCCACTATATCCTTCTCTATTTTGGATATTGATAAAAACTCTTAAATAGAGTGTAAAATTTTCTCCAATACTTTATTCTAAGGCGGATTATTTCCATCAAAGACTCGTTTATTTCTTTCTTTCTAAATCTCTTCAAGAATTATCCTCCTAACAATTTGCCAAATAACCGAACCAATTTAAGAGAGTGAAGGAAGTGAGAACCACCCAAAATTCCTTTGACAATAGGAGGTATAAACATATGAAGCTCATTGAGGTGGATTGTTACTTTGTTCCAGAGAAAACGGTGGAAATGGACTGGTTGGCTTAGCTCTGAAAAAACTAAGGTCTGAGCCAGAAAATGAGGCTCAAGCCAGGCCGGGCTGGACTTGGGCCATCAGCATAATAGAGTTGGCCCTGCTTTTTTTTTTTCTTTTGATTTTTTTATTATTTCTATCTAAGTCTGGCCCGGCCTCATTTCTTTTTGTCTTTTGATTTCTTTGATTTCTATCTAGCCTGGCCGGCCTTAACAGCGATACAGGTGCCAGCCCAAAGTTCATCTATTCATTCTAGTGGTAGCTGAGAGAGCAACATATCGGCAACCGGATTCTCGGGCGAAATTCACCGAAATTTAATTGTTTGCCGAATTTATCGCCTTTTGTCCGAAATTCAATGGGTTGCTAAATTTCTCGCCGTCTTTAGTTATTAACTCGTGAGAGCTCGCAGATTTTTTTCACAAGCGGGACGGAACGCAATCCACCTGCTTCGCCTTTCCCTCCATTTTCCCCTTTTCTCTCTCTAAACCAATCTTCCCGCCCTCTCTCTCTCTCTCTCTCTCTCTAAACCGATCTTTTCTCGTCCCTAAATCTCTCACTCTTGCTGTGAATTGAAAATGGCGGTAATATCAGTGCCTGCAACCTCTGTACCCTTTAGTAGAACAGATTCTCCTTCCTGTTCATCTTCTGCACCTTTCTTTCCCTTTTTCACGAGGAATTCGTCTCTCATTGTAAGAAGAAGAACCGAATTAATGGGGCTTAAGGTTTCACATAACCATTCCTCTTCTCTCTTGCGCCAACCCTGCACAGTTGCTTGCCTTCCTTCTTATCCAAAGGCTGCTACCAAGAAGCTCTACGTCAGTGGTAACTCTCTCTCTCTAACCTTCAATTGCGTAGAAATGGTTTTCTTCTTGTTCAACTGTTCTAGTTTTATCTCTCAGGATTCTGTTCTCTCATTGAAATTTGGTTTGAAGAGTCTTTTATGCTTCTTTCTCAGAGGCTTAGGTTGTCTATGTTGTAGATTACTTTCTTCGATGATAACCGAAAACAAATTTTGGAGCTTTTTACTTCAATATTACGTGTAGCTCTGGTAATAGATTTATATGAATGGTGTTAAAACAGTTGCATATTTGAGGGGATTGGAACTAATCAACCAAAGCTATGCGAGGAGATGTTCTCGTTTTACCATGATAGTGGTTTTTATGTATTTTGACTGTGTAACGTTTGACGAAGCTCATACTAATTCCCTAAAAGAAATTTGTGTTGCAAATTTACAGTTTCTAGGCAATGATATCTGATTTGTATTTTGACTTCTGATCAACTTGGAAAGGAATTCCTCCAAGTGTATATAAAAGTAATTTTAATTTTAGAAAAGGTCCATCTATAAATTAGCCACCTCAGTTCCATGGCATCATACTAGCGTTTCCTCTGTTTTCCTTGAAACATAGTCTTGATGATATCAAGGTTTTCATCTTTTTGTGTTCGATCAACTATAATCCGATCACTGTCTTGTTCATGACATAGTCATCTAGAAAATAGGGCTTCAATGTGTAATTTTTTTCACTCTTTCTTCCTCCTTAAAAATGAAGCATTAGTTTATGTCCTTATGATGATTTGTATGCATTCATTGCCTGAATGCAGAGGACTTTTGGGAGTTTTGACTTATTTGTGGGTTGTCAAGGTTTACATGATTAAAGCTTTTGTGTAGGTCTTCATTCTTCATGAGGCCGTCAGCTATATCTTACGACAAAAACGTTCTTTTTTTTCTTTTTTTTTCTTTTAATGAAGAGAGAGTAGGCTGATTTAGATGGTCATCGATGGCCCATTCATGTCTAATCTTGTGACATATAGGAAGAAGGCCAAGGATGTTACTTTTGGTAGAGAATAAGGAAAGTTGATACCATTTGGGATCGCTTGAGTGGCTACTTGGTGAGTTTATGATTATTTGGGATGGGGAGTTAGTGATAAATGACAAGGTGAGTTTCACGGAGTTCATGACTATTTGGGATGCTTCATGACTATTTGAGAAAGTTTGTGACTATTTGGGGTGGTGAGTTTCAGTGATCAATAACAAGGTAGACGTTGGCTTGTTTATCATCTAAGTCTTTCTGCATTATGGCCAACAGGGTGCATTATGGTTTATTCGGTAGCTCTAACGTTAAGGTAGGGAGACCCTCTCTCCCTTTTCTTGTTCCCATAATACCATCTGATTTTGGTCGTCCTCTATAACTGTAAATAGCAATTCTCTATGCTACCCTCATATTCATGATTCCTTGATTTCTCATTTGAAAAATTTAAGAGTAACACTTCAATGTTTTGGGGTTATTTTGAGCAAGAGAATGCATTCATTGAGAAGCTGGTCATAATATTTTCAACTTCATTCATTCAATAAAAGGAAGAAACTGGTCATTAGAGTGGAGTATAAGGAAGTCATGGGAAGAAATATCTGACAAGCTAAGGTGAAGGTAGGTTCCTTTGTTCAACATTTCACTGTATGTCCACTTCTATGGAGGTAAGCTTCGGAAAAGCCTGTCAGGCTCAGTAATAGACCTTGAGCAGAAATGGTTCTACTGGAAAATGACTGCATATCTTTGTTGTAAGATTACCCTGAGAAAGTCCACATTGTCAAGTATCTTACTATTGCGCCATTGCAAGTTAGTTGAAACAACTAACAAGGGAGTTCTAGTATAGGGATGAAAAGCAATGGGGTTGGGAAAGGAGGTTCAAAGTAATGAAGGAGGAGCACGGGGTTCAAGAGTCAAATAGGATTTAGTGGGGAATTATCAATGTAAGTAGGGAACCCGCTTCTCTCATTTCCTGATTTATACTGCACCTATGGTTCGAACATCATATCTATTGGAAGGAAATATTTCTTTTTCTTTTTCTTTTTCTTTTTTTTTCTTTTGCCCTTTTCTCTTTTCCTTGTTTCCTTTTCTTTCTTTTTGGGGTGGGGGTTGATGGAAAGGTTGGAATGGTACCAAATTTTGAAATATTTGGCTTGTGAGAAATCGATATTCTAATTTTTGGATAATGATCTCATGTGAAATTATGAACTCATGTGGCTCATTGAGAATATTGAGTCCAGATGTTGAGATTGACGCAATTGATTAAAAAAATTGTTGAGATCAATGTGAGGAGTACTTGTCACGAAGGAAAGATGTCTTCCTATACTTTCTCGCAATTTTGGCTCAATTTTTTATTAAATAGCATGCATTGATCTGCTTACAGGTCTTTCATTCCGTACAACTGAAGAAAGTCTGAGAAATGCATTTAAGAACTTTGGCCAACTTGTTGAAGGTGTAGTTCTTGAACTCCTGCTTTTATACTATTATTTCTCTTCTTCAAGTCATGCAAAGATGCAGTATTTTTTCGTACAAAACTAATGACCGTTAATTTGGTTACTTATATATCTTTATATGGCCATTTCAGTGAGTTACTATTGGTACGAAAATAGTGAGTGAGTTTCCATTCAACTTTCGTGTTTTATTTTTGTGCCATTTAGTATGGCTATGCCAATTCTGCTAGAATTATCTCCCAAAAGTCAAAACCAAACTTAAACATTCAAGCATGTGAGTATCATGGTACTGTTATCATCCTTACTTTTTTTTTTTTTCTGGTGCAGAGCATTTCCAGGTTAGTGTATAGATGAGTGAAGGGAAAACAACTGAACCACAATATTTTAAGATCAAATGACTGAAACTAATTGATGATAAAGAAAATTTATTTTAGTAAAGGAAAACCAAGAAGCCAGATTTGAAATTGACACAGAATTTCCCTCAAATTCATGAAGAGACCTTGTCGTTCAGTGTGAAAATGTAAGAAAACTTACATCTTGTTGGAGTGAGCTCTCTCAGAAGAATAAAATGAGCACATCAGAGTAATTAAAACATAGACCACAAACACACACTTACCCAGTTTGGATAGTGATACATGTTTTGATCAAGTGGTAATTGACCCTTAAAACATACAATTTTTCAAGTTGGATGAAAACTGGTATTTCCAGTTTTCATCTCACTCAGAAAATGCTCTGACTGCTACTTGGGTTTTTAATTGGCATCCAAAGGACCACCTGAACCACAAAGGGTTCCTCACCTAAAAGGCTTCCTGATCAGCACAAAGGATGTTTCTGGGTGGCAAGCAAATGAGGCCTAGATTTCCTCATTCATTATCCAAATGAAATTGTGTTGCTCTTTTGCACTTCTCCTTTCCTTAGATCTATATATACTTTTCTTTCTTCTAAAATTGTTGTTACCTAATAAATAATCCTCTCTCTCTCTCTCTCTCTCTCTCTCACAGACGCACACACACACACATGGTGCCTAAATGTTTCCATCAGCTGGGTTAAGTGTCGTTATTCCTCTACCCTTTTTTTCCTGATATTTTGCATAGCTATTGCAGTTAAACTTGTAATGGACAAAAGAGCTAATAGACCCAGAGGCTTTGCTTTTCTGGAGTATGCAACTGAGGAAGAATCAAGACAAGCCATAGAGGGAATGCATGGGAAGGTATGCCCACATTTCAAAATTTATTCATCCCATATATCTCAGTTGAATAACATTGCAGTTCTTTCTTATATTTATTCCTCCCATATATCTCAGTTGAAAACATTGCAGTTCTTTCTTATATTTATTCATCCCATATATCTCAGTTGAATAACATTGCAGTTCTTTCTTATAATTTAAATTTTTAATAGATAAACCTTAACTGCTTATGTCGAAATACGATTGGACGTAACAGACTCTTCTCTATATAAATTTGGAATAAGCATCTCGGGTTTTCAGAAAAGATGAATATACCACTTGAACAGCTTGATCTCCTTAGGTTTCAAAAATTCACTAATCACCCTTTGCTTTCAAAATTTGACTATTTTCCCTTCTTTTTTTTTAATTGAGTAATGGCTTTTGATAAAATTTTGAAACTTCTTGAAAACTCTTCAATTAAAACCTTGATTTGAAGTTTGTAATCATTTTATTCACCCAAAAAAAAAAATTGTAATCATTTTATCTGGTTGTGTGCATGATTTGCATGCTTACAATCAATCTGGAGCTTATTATCTGCTTTTCATTTTTAATGATTATTAATGGCCTTGTTTTGGTTCTATTTTCATCTTACATTTTATTATTTTCAAAGAGCATTCCTTGCATGTATTTTTTCGTGAGTATGCATGTGAGATGAATTTATATGTGTTGAATCTACCATTTGGGTGTTGGTTTCAGTTTTTGGATGGAAGAGTCATATTTGTGGAAGTTGCAAAATCAAAGTCCGAGCTCCAGAAGAGCTTCAACCGCTTTCCACCGCAATATTGAGGATGTCGATACATATGCATCTGTAATGTGACTTGCGTCGCTCCATTATTGGTGAAAATTTTCTTCACTTCAAATTATTTATCTCCAGTTGAAACAGTGAAGCATTTAAAGTTTTAGACAGTTAATGTTTTAGTAGGACTTTTGCTTCATATAGATTATGAACAGTAATTTCTACATTGCAGGATGGCTTTATTTTATACTTGTATCAGAGAGAGAGAGAGAATGTGTTTTATAGTTGTTGGTGCAGTTGAGAAGCTCTCTAGAGCTATGAGAGCATTGTGATCCTTTGTTTTAAATTTGATGTATGTCATGTTAAGAAGGGGCAAATTACCATGATCCACACGATCACAGGACATATGCGCTCATAAGGATTATTGATACCCAAGCAATGCGTTAGAAGGTCATATTCTCTTTTCATCACCGTCCAACCTAGTGATTGGATGGTGATTACTTTTGCAATGGCATATTTTATGTTCTCATGCGTACCATTGTTTGTAAAAAGCGGAAGCACCCACACAAACACCAGTAAGACGGTTGCACAAGAGGATAAAAGACGATGGCTAACTATGGAGCAGAATTTCAAATCCAGGATGGGTTGGCCGGATTGGTCACCAGCTGAACCAGAACCGAACTGGATGGGATACATGAAGAATAGAATGATTCTCCAATATGGGAATTGGTCCAAGAGAGTTGAATACAATTTTAAATTTTGGAATAAAAAAAATCAAGAGAAATTATCATAAATATACTTTAATTTTTTACAAATTAGTAAAAAAAAAAAAAAACCCCGAAACATTCTTAAACTTTGTTCACACTTTTTTTCCTTATTTTTGGCATTTAAAATACTTTTGAGTTATCGCGGCATTTAAAATGCCGTATAAAATGGGGTAGTCCTTATAGTAATTAAAGTACTGTAATGCTAGGGCTTCATAATAATACGATTACCATGAAGGTTATTTTGATAAAAAAAATATATATCAAAATTGGAAAAAAAATGGCGTGGAAGAGATTTATAAAAATTGAGGTTTTTTTTCAATTAGGTGAAAATAAGGATATAGTTCTGATAAATTTTCAAAAATCAAAAAATAAGATTTCTAGACAATAGAATAGGTGGGAACAGTAGGATGCTTGCTGGGAAATGAAAACCTATTCTCTAAAATAATTTGCTTAACTCGTGGACAAACCCAATTTCATAAAAGAATCCGGTCAGGCAGCTATCGATTCCAATCCAAATCGACAAATTTCAATCGGAATCCATGGTTTGTGATCCCTAGTATAGAGATCCAAGTATTCGTATTTTATCTAAAAGTTTAAGGAACAAATTATTAGTAGTGTTGCATGGTGCAAATAATTCCGGTTCACTTTACAATGGAGAAAAAGAATTTTCCATTGGATTGGATGCTTCCCATCCAACCTCACCGTGATCGGTGAGCTCCACGGATGTATCACGAGCGCAGGATTGGGTGTTGATTGCTGGGGTCATTCTTCAATTTTCAAAATGAAAAGTACAGAGTGTGATGGTTTTTCTGAAAGTATTCATGAAGTGTTCTTTAAGATTTTGAAATTCTGAAAGTATTCTTTTATAAAGTATTTTTTTATATTTTGAAAAAGCTTCGCATTTATTTTACACTTTCCAATAAAAATTTAGAAACTAATTTTTCAACAAAAATTCTCATTTCTTTGTTAAAAAATGAAAGATTAAATTCCTATGAGGGGTAAGAACTTAATCTTTTCAAAACTTATTTGTTGATCACTATTCACTATGCATAATATAAATACATAATATTAATATGATATAATATAATATAATATTATTATACTATAATATTAAATAATATAATATTATAATTTATAATATTCTATTATATATTCATATGTTATTTATAATAAATATACATTAATAAAATATATTATATTATATATTATATTATGTTATATATTTATATTTATATAGTTAATATGTATATGTTGCCAAACGCAATACTCAAAACGTTTGAGTAGTTTATCGAACACAGTACCCAGAATTTATTTAAACCTTCCAAAACAAAACATTCAACTTTTCAGAAGATATCTTTCAAAAAAACAAACCCGCCATAAGAGATTGGTACAAAGATATCATAAACACTTTTGTCCATCAAATTTCAAATCAGGTGGTTGTAAGAATGCCACTAACCAAACTCAAAATGCAAAAAAAAATCTCAAACAATGTGACATACACAAGCTATCAATTGACATCTAAATAGCCAAGAGTAATTGTGAACTCCATACAACAAGAATGAATGATTTTATAATGGGTGCGGTTTGCATAAAGCCGAGGCTCTAAACAATCAAGTTAGAGCTCACCTTCAAATAGTAACGAGAAATGTAGTTTCAATACTGAAAATCTTTATGAAAGCCTTAAAAACTATTTTTATCTTTAATTATAAGATTTAAAGCTTCAAAAATAGTCTAGATCGAGCAAATCCATAAAAACTTAAAAATCTTGAAAATTGATTGTCCAAATATACGTTACAAGATGCACTATTTCGAAAACTTGAAATCCATTCTTTTTCTCATGTCCATGTATCTTATTGTCGAGATGATCAATTTGAGTATATTTGAGCATCAAAACAACCTCTTCTAGTGAAACTTTTGATGTAAGCTCTAATTTATTATTTAGAGCCTCAGCCCTATAAAAACTTTTCTCTTTTATAGTAGGAAAAGGTTTATACAGAGCCGAGGCTCTAAACAATCAAATTAGAACCTACATCAAAAATTTTACTATAAGAGGTTGTTTTAATCCATAAATATCCCTAAATTGATCATCTCGACATCAAGATGCATGGATATGAAAAAAAAATGGATTTCAAGTTTTAGAAACAGTGCATTTTATAACATATTTTTTGACCATCAATTGTCAAGATTTTCAAATTTTCATAGATATGTCGATCAACACAATTTTTTAAGCCTTAAAACTTTATAAATAAAGATGAAAATATATTTTGAAGATATCACAAAGACTTCCAGTATTGAAACCTTTCTCAATACCATTTGAAGTTAGGCAACCATATTTCTCAATACTATTCGAAGTTAGGCTCTAATTTGATTGTTTAAAGCCTAGGCTCTGCACCCTTTATGGTATACCAGCCCTTTTAAAAAATTTAGAACTTTCTAATTTTTCTTATTTATAGCGCATGTTTCTATTTTTTATTTTTTACCCAAAATACCCTCGTTGTTGGACATAATAAACCGGTAAAGACTTTTCAGATTTCCAAACTTACTAGGTCCACTGAAGCTCCTTTTGTTATGCATATTAGGCACCATTTGAGTATTTTGGACTTCAACAATCTCAAAAGATGAATTAGACCAAATATGAAATGGCCTGATAGTACTGCAAGATATCATTATATATGGGCTTTGAAATTCATTTTATTCATAGCTGTAATTCAAAACTAAGATGATAAATTGGAGAGTTCTCTTGCAATAAAGCACACCTTTCAAGAATCAAGGCGCAAAAGCCAAGCATTATGTAAACCTTCGCTTACCTCGAAACCCACTGCTATTCAACAAACGAGATACCCTTTTACATCAAATTACATGGTGCTATTAGGTACATTATTCAGCAAGCCATATACCCCTTCCGACACCCTCAACCAGTAATGGTATCTTGAAAATCCATATTAAGTTCTAGTCATTTAAAATTAAAAAAATACAAATCAAGAAAAATGTATAAATACTCGAGAACTTTGAAATTAACAGTCCAGATGCACTCTCTTTAGGACAAAACATTATTTTTTTTAATCTCTATATCCATGTCGAGATGATCAATTGGAAAGTTTTGTGAGTTGAAAATACTCCTATTCCTGGATTTTGAGGTCTTCCTTCTCTACGAGGTTGCAACCTCAAGGGATTTTTCTTCTTTCGATTCTCACCAAAAAAAGAATGCAGTTATATTAATCAAATATTATCACACTAAAACACCCATGCATCTCTAAATATAATCAACTAACTATTCCGAAAATCATGAAATGTCCCTTAAAACATACAAAAATTAAATAATAATAATAATCAAATATTACAACACCTTTTTGAAACATCCATTGACTTCGAAAAAATAACCAATTATTCCCACAAATCACAAAATATCCGTCGAAAAAATATATGAATTAAGCCATAACAATAACAAGTGAGCATTTTTTCATAAAAGAATATCCTACTAAACAAATTCCAACAGAGAAACAGAGAGAGAAGGGAAAGTATAAAATGAGACCTACATTTGCGACAAAAATGTCAAAAATCACTCCAAGCTGTTAGATTGGTAAAAGAGAAAAAGATCTATTATCCCAAGCTGCTAGACGAGAAAACGATGAGATCTGTCACTGATTGTTGCCTTCAAAAGTACAAGGAATCTCATGCATAAACATCAGTCGGATTTCACACCCAAAATCTTAGGACAGCTTTACGATTTCGTATCCAAGTTATTCCCATTGCATGCAGTTCTCGCATAGAACAATGCAATAAAAAATTGTGTGCATGCGTGTGCAAGTGTGTATGTCAGAGCAGTGAGTTTGTGTGTGTGAGAGAGAGAGCTTCCAAGGAATAATTCAGTGCACAACAGCTGAGATAAAGGCTGTTCAGCCTTCTATATTTGGACAACGAAAGCATGAAACATGCCTTCGCAAAAACAATTTATAAGAGAAGTTCCATGGTTACAAAAAGCTTACAGAGGAAAAGAGATCCAAGGTTTTACAAAGGCATACAGACGGGAAAAATCTGAACAGAAAGAATTACAAAATAAAGAAGAGGGAAGAAAAAGGACTATTTTATACCTTTGGATCAGAGGAAAGCACCCTCTGAGATATAAGCTGAGAAGAGAGGCTCAAAAACTGAACTTAAAATTATCATCAGAAAACTCCATCCCTAAATCTTCTCTCTCCATTCTCTCTTTTCCTTTTCCTTCTGTTTCTCTTCCACCCCAACATCACAAGCAAAGCCTAATTCTCTTCCCTTCTCTCATATCATCCTCACTCCATGACTGCCTCCTATAAGGCACAAACCCCTTTCCACAACTCCTAAAACTCACTTGACTAGTGTTCAAACACTCGTTACTACCACCCTTTAAGCAAATTCCAGAACCCGATTCCACTCTCTCTTTAGAATGAAGCTCCCCATAAAAAAACAACCCATGTTTTTCAGAAGAGTTCACAACATCACCATTCTTATCTCCACCACACATCTCATTAGCCGAGCCCGTATTCGAACCAGTCCATGACCCTTCCTTTTGAGCCCTTTGTTTATCATCCAAACCTTCTATACAGGTATCAGAAGCTGTACAATTTACAGTTTTAGCCTGAACCTTGAATTCAGAGGCCATATTTATAAAAGGCAAAGGAGAAGCTTTATACAGTGCCCAATAGGGCATTGCATTAGAATAGATCACATTGGGCATTTCAGTATTAAGGCCACCCTTCCAAGAGGCATTAAACGAAGGGTCTGAGACATCACTTGGTGAAGCTCCCTCTGATGGAGTATGGATTTGGTTCTCAGAAGGAATTTCGGCTGCCGTGAAGGGAATTTTCTGGGAAGAATCGTTCTCTTCGGTTTTGTGAGATGGTCTATGAGAACCAGTAACAAAAACAGTCCTACCAAATAGCTTGAGGCTCAGTGTTGATGTTTCAGCTGGTGATTCATTCTTGTTGCATTCGGAATTGAGCACTCCTTGGTCAGGGTTATTCCTTGCATTAGAGAGGCTCGATTCAGATTTCTACAGAATCAAAATGGGAAAGATACAGATCAGTAAGGGGAAACAAGGTCAAATTGGACAACAGAATAGAGAAAGGCTTCACAAGATCAGTATCGTAAAATATGTAGAAGCAAAAAGAACACAAAAATAATTGAAGGAAAAACATGACGAGGCTGAGATTAACCAGAGAAGGTTTCTCCTCCTCTCAGTGTATCGTGCAATAGAAAACACAAGGAACCAGTAAGAAAGGAGAACCTACTTACGAAGACAAAATGAATATACGGAGGTAATTCTATCACACAATAAATGTACAAATGAAATAATCTAACTTTATATTATAATATAGCAATTTAAATAACAATATTTGAGAGAGAAGAAACCAATGCAGTTCCTGAAGCTTTTCTCTTGTTTAAAGTGAATAATCAAGTTCACAATCTACTAAAACAATTCCAGTTTACAATGTATTAACCAATTTCAGAAGAAAACCGCCAAAAGAAGAAATCATTAAATTATTAAAATAGTAAAGAGTTTCTGATAAGAGAATGTAAGAAGTCATCCAGAGTTAGAAGCATAGAATATACCATGGCAGGCTTCTCTTGATGACTCAACCCAGAAGCCAGTAAACGCGGTGCATCAGATGCGCTGTCATGCTCCAATCCACTAGGTTCCGAATCAATAGGGCCACCATTTTCATACTCCAACTCTCTGAAAGCCACAGGATTTGAATCAGAAGCAGAGGAAGCAGGAGATGGAGACCTTTCCTCCAGGTTGGAATCCAACGATGCCATTTCCAAACGCGCAGCTGATAAAACTGACGTAGGAGATCCCTCTCCTTGCTCACACAGGGAAGATATCAAAAGGCTTGAACCAGTCCCTGATGAATTTGGTGACGGAGACCTGTTACCTTGCTCAGATAGTGAAGGTATCATTAGGCTCGAACCAACCCCAGATAAATTTGGCAAAATGGATCCATCTTTATCTGGTATTATGACATCCAACTTAGAACGGTTAGCTGATTTTCTCGGATATGGATGGAGAGGCTTCCTCTTAGGCCTTGGCGGAGGAATCTCAATAGCCTTTGAACAACCACCGTTGTTCGAATCTCGAGCTACCTAAAGTTGGAGAAACCCAAAAGGAAATTAGAAAAAGGAAGCCTATAGCCATATAGTTACTCATTCTGGTGTAAATGATCCCACCCTGTTTCATCTTGTAAAGAATGAAACTTACTCGCAGTGGAGTATCAAGGAAGCCCACCCATGTATAAGATATGGAAACATGAAGCATTCGGAATTATGAGTAAAGTGGGAAGTATTAAGCAGTGGAACCTTAGAGAAGAACTTTTGAGCATGGCTTCGGATTTGAACAGCAGTCTTGGTCCCAACATGCTCTGCATACACAGAAATATTATTTAAGAGAGAGAAACAAGCCTGGGTAGACAATAATAACAAACCTAAATTCAGATACCCATTCAACAACAAGGGATAATAATAACTAAGAATACCTTCGATGCGACGCCAGGCTCGCCCATACAATTTTAGGGCTTCCAAGAACTTCTTGTGTTCTTCCTCTGTCCATCGCTCTCTCTGTTTTGTGATTGTGTAAGGCTTCCTGACCTATTAATAACAGAAAAGGTTTTGAAGTTCAGTCGATTTGGTCTACTATCATGAAAATTTCATATGTTCATTGTCTTTTGCTGCATTAATAACCGAGAAGATGACCAATAGGAATCAAAATTAACTTAACAACCGAACCAACCTTGGCTGCCTGCTCATCCCCTGAAAGATGCATCTCCCCAATCGGAACCTTCACTGTGCATGCCCAACTGATTTCAGAATATACATGGTAGCTAGGAATGCTACTTGAGGCTGAAGTTGCACTTGCGCCTATGCTTTTAGCCTGGCCACAAATTCGACACTGGTCAGTCAATAGTTTCAGGTTAAAAGAAGCACCTAAAGCTCTACACCGCACGTGAGAGAGAGAGAGAGAGAATAAGCAGTGTTGATTCAAACAAGCACAATAAAGAGCAATCACACACAAAATGCATTATGGTTTTGATGTTTCCCATCAGATATACATATTACACAAGAAAGATGTATAGACAGGAACTGTCTTGTAAAGGTTTCGTACCTGGACTGACATATCCACCGAAGTCTTTAGGTCAGATTTTGCATAAATTCTGTGAAAACTTTCAGAACTCTATTGATCGGAGAAAAACGTGTTACTTCTTTGCTCCTCCCTAATTTTTCAGAAGTATAAACTTACTTCAAGACACCCTCTATCTATCCTTTTTGATGCCGAATACACCAAAACTATGTCCTAACAGTAAAATTCTTTCCCTTTTAATAGTTGCTGCTCACTAAACCTCCATAACCACAAAATCGGTAAATCTGAAATCTAAAACTATTAGAAGTTCAGCCTTGACTGAATTGCTGTTATCTGGTTTTCCTTCAAGATAAGAATATGAAGATTATAACTTCCCTCTGTTCACTTATATAACTCCAAGTTCTTTCTTTTCGCAATCCTTGTCTCTTTATCTCATCTCCTCACTGCTCCCTGAGAATTTTTCCCCCATAATCACAAGTTCACACCCACACTGAAAATGATATTTCGACCTCCAACATGTACAATTACAGGACAGATCTTCACTATCTTGCAAACCAAAACCAAGTAAAGGAACTAAAAAATCATTAACGAAAACATTCAACTCCTTCCTGTATCTCCAAAACACAACTTCACCAAATGAAAACAAAATCCAAAACTAGCAACTTCGCATCCACACAGTAAAACCCCACCTATTCGAGTTCCATTTTTTTTTCTAGTTTTAACTAACTTTTTCCGGCGAAAAACCTCGATCTACAAGGGTTCTTTCTACCAAGAATTATATCCTTATTTTCTTCAAAAGCATGAACCCAGTCCAAAAATTTACAGTACAAGAACCCAATCTGAACAAAATCTACCACAGAATAACTATATCCAAGGATCGTGAAGACAAAGTTTCAGATTTTCAAGGAACAGTTAAAAGAGAGAATTCAAAGATAATACAAGAAACCAATGCTCAGGAATTACAAAACAAGGGCGAAATACCTCATTGCTGAGCCCTACAGATAGCGAAAAATCGCCAGAAAAAAACCCAGTCTTAAATTTTCAGGAAAAAGAAATTCGCCTGAAAAGTGTGAGATTCCGGCGAGGAGAGAAATTGCAGCGAAGTTGGAAGGCAAGTTTGGGTGAAGAAGCGAAGAAGGAATAAGGGGAGAGGCTGCATCAGGCTGCTTTTGAGACAGAAAAACTGACCAAAATGGCCTTCTCATCTTTTGAAATGACGGGGCCACCCCTAAACTACATTTATTAAATTCTAAAGTAAGCCGCCGTTTTCTCTGTGGCGGTTTTGCCCTGAGAAATTGGGGCTGATGTTGATTTGGGTGGTTCCGCTTGGATCGAGCTGGAGGGCAAAGTCGTCATAATCCAAACAAGCAGATTCTTAGGCGTTGGGGAAAATGACCGAAAATGCCCCAATATTATTCCTAATGACGATTACATCTGAATCTATTCTGAAAAATACCTCTTTCTTTGTATCTTTTTTATCTTATACGATGGTCCATGGTGCACATATCACAAGACCATGTACCGTCCTCCCATGAGAATGGACAGTTAGTCTCTTTTATTCACAATCAGGACAAACGATGGATGCTTCACATGGTGTATCATACATACATGACAATATAGATTCCGATTCATCGAGAAATTCCCATGGCAAACAATCTTATATCTAACCAAAAAGTAATCATAAAATGAGAAAACTAGGTGACTCGGATGATTATGGATTTGTTTGCAATGAATTGCAGCATTTTGACTGCGTCAGATCTATTGATTATTGAGTCGAACAAGCGACTATTAAATCACTTATCTATACTAAACTATATACCACAATGCACGAACCGGTGTGTCATAGTGACATCTATCCTCTATTTCTAATTAGATGCTCATGATGTATATGCACCATCAAATCAAATCTCCACCTTGCATGCACTATATGCCCATACTGTTGTACACTAGCAATGAGTCAGGTGGCCTAGCACTAGCAAAACATAATTTGGCTAGAGATTCAAACATGGGCCTGTGTCCATGGGGCTCGGCTGAGGGTATATGTTTTCTTTTTCGAAATCCGGGCCATGGAAAAAGGGTCTTGGCCCGGGATGGCGACCCGGCCCTGATGGATAGGCAGTGCATACACTATGGTGTATACTTACTCCACACTAGGGAGAACAGAGCAGCTCAGGCGTGCATATATATATATATCTACTAGAAAGGCATTGGACACAATTTGACATTTCGTATAGTGCAGGGCATTTCGAGAACCCCACATGGCAAGCTAATTGGGGATGGGTTTTGTCATTGGCAACAAAGTTGAAGGGTAGTTTTGTCATTTCGAATCAGGAGAAATGACTAAAATTGGGGAGTGACACGACACGAGGCTTCGAGAAAAATGTCGAAATATTCGGAGGAGTCTTGTGGCCGACGATGCTCCAAGGCCAAGACGCGTGGCGTGTCCGTGTCGCCCATTTGGGGTCTTTCTTATTTGTGGGCCACAAAGCGAATGGAGGAGAGGAGCCAACAAAAGCGAAAAAAATGCACTCACAAAATTATCTTCAAAATTAAAAATAAAAATATCTCACCCTCTTCTTTTTCTTCCTTATAAAATGAATGGATAATCAACAATACATTTTTATTTTATTTTATTTTTTTCGTGGATTGTAGTTGCTTTAGGTGGTTCAAAGAGCTTAACTTTAGACAAAATTTTGCCTAAATTAGATAAGAAATATGCCCCCAAATTGGAAATTAGAAAATTGGGTATCTATGGATGGGGCAACGTTGTAATTTTAATTTAAGTTTTTTCTATTTTTTTGTGGTTTTTGCTAGAAATTAGCTTCATTTTACCACAAAAATAAATAAAATAAAGCCAATAACAAAATTTCCATTTTTCAAGTTACCAAAAATATCTGTTTTTACCAAAGTGAGCTGGGGCAAAAGTGCCGATTTCCTCCTTAAAAATCTTGATCTGAAAAACAAAGAAGATATTTTTGATAAAAGACCAAACGGATAAAAAAGGAAATGGGGCCCATGCAGCAATTTTTTTCTTTTTTAAAAATCCCGGCCAGAAAAAATATATATATTTCTACAAAAGAGCAAAAAGGAGGAAAAAAATGAATGGGCAATAATGACAAAAGTAAAGGGCAATCTATCAATATCTTCCCTTTAAAAATCACCACCATAAAAAAAAGACATTTATTTTTAATAAAATAGAAGAATAAAAAAAAACAAAAAAGTTCAATCTATCAGTTTCCTCCCTTAAAAAATCACCACCATAAAAAAAAAAGTAAATATATTTATTTTTTATAAAATAGAAGAAATAAAAAAAAAAGAGCAAAAATTCTCAAAATATCTAGGGCCTCTAATATGGTGGAACCAATGAGAGCCAGGAGATGTGGATCAAAAGGGTACGAGTGACCCGGGTGGCCTTTGCGCTTTTCGTCACGTCAGCACCACCACCGCCACACCCAAAATAAACTGCCACGTAAGCCCTATTTCTTTTTTTAGTGTTTTTTTGGGGCGCTTCAGCTTGTGGATATGGATGCTTCATGTCCACCCAATTTAGGAAACAAATATGATTATTCTAAATTTAAATTGGGGAAGATGGCGACGCGGTGGGTCCCACTGTCTTTAATATTTTACGGTCGGTGCCTTGTGGCTGCGTATGTGTACACGTGTTCGGTCTTTTCAGATGAGGGAGGACAGCTATGATAAAAACGATGGTTTCACGAAATTGAACGAAAACTACGAGAAATTCTGTTTGACTGCCGAAGTTTCGATTTAAAAGCTACGAGGAGTACATATGCCGGGCTCGGTTTTAAAAAGTTGTTTGCTCCCGCGGGAGCATATTTGACTGGTTAGTGTATTTTTAGGTCTTTAATGCAAAACAAGAAAGAAGAGAGCCAAAAAAGAAGAGAAAGCCAAACAATTAAAATCCTAAATATACAAAATACGTTGGACAAAACTTACGAGCAGCTGAGAAAAAACGAGGGAAAATAGACTTAGGTGGTCTAGTCATAGACAACATTGACTTAAAACAATACAAGTAAATAGTGGCGATTTGATTCAAGTGAAAGTTCTATAAAGATAAAAGATGACTTAAAAGTACATTAAGGGAAGTAGTAAGAAGAGATATAGTGATTGATGGTCAAGAAGAGATATGGTGATTGATGGTCGATTAAAACATGATTCTTCACATAGCATAATACCAAAATAAGATTTATGCAGCCGACCCTTAATATTTGGGGTAAAACTCATATTTATATATACTTTTACTAATATTTATGAGTGCAACGTATTTTAATTGTTCGAGATTGGTTCATTACACAAACTACACCTCTATCTAGTTGGGCAGATATAAGTGTTGGTGTTATGATGACATGGTTCATAGCCTTGTGTGATATGTTGACACATGTTGCGCATATTAACGAGTGCTCGATCTCAGCCAGTATTGATGATGTAATGCGCATGCGCATGCGCAAGCTTATGCCTCTGCACTCCGCTAGTAGATGGATTAGAAAGGGTAAACTCTATATTATATTTAGTATACTATTCAAACCATATCTTATTTATGAGAAGAGACTTATAGCTGTATTAATTTTTCAGACCAATAGAGTGAACTCAATACTTCTCAACGTTGAACACCAGTGTTTACACGCCCTAAAACTCAATTTCTTTTAAGAATACTTAATTGGTGATTCTTACATTGGATCCCAAAATTCCATAGCAAAAATAAATACAAGAAACCCCCTTGAGTAGCTCTTTGGCACAGACGAGTAATTGTGCAGCATGTTCCTGCGGGAGCACGTAGCATGAGCCCCCCTCCAAAATACCGCACCAAAATGGATCTTCAAACTCCCAACTGAAATTTTGGCGAAATTTCGTGAAATCGAATAGCTTAAGGACCCTCACCGTTTTGGAAAAGCGAGTACGGTCAGTGATGACAGGATGAAAGAAACGGGTAGAAAACTGCCAAAAGAGAACACGTGTTAAAGTGCCACGCCCTGGTTTTGATGTCTTTGACAAAAAGCCAACATAGTTTAAGTCTTAACTCACTTGTTTATTTGCTTAATTCCTGTTTATTCTTTTAAGGATATGAGGATCTAAACAATCAAATTAAGATCCACCTCAAAAATTCACAAAAACCGGTTATTTTGTTGTTCAAGAATACTCACATCGGTCATTTTGACCTCAAAATAAACGGAAATGAGAAAAAATAGATTTCAAGTCTTGAAAATAATCTATCTTATATTTATAAATATATTGGATCTATATTATTTTTTGAAACTTTTAAATTTTATAATTAGATATAAAAATAAAGTTTCAAATCATCAAAAATATTTTTAATATCGAAACAACATATTTCAATACTATTGATTGTGAGGTGCGCCTTACTTTGCTGCGCCTTTATTTGTTAAATATTTTTAAGTTAGGAAGCACTAATAATAACACATTTAGCCGCCATTCGGTAAACATTCTAACACAAAAATTAAAAGACCAGTTTCTATGTGGCCAAGGCTGCATATGTAGGAGTCCGAGCCTCTTACTAAATCTATTTTTTGAGATGGATTTTAAGAGTTAAGTTTTAAATACATGTAATCTTTAACATGAAGATCATGAATATGAATAAATAAAAAAATTTTAAAAACTAAAAATAATAATTCTAGTGAGAAAATATTTAGACCCCATTGTTTTTAGATGAGACACCAACTTGTATCCACCTTTAAGATGCATGCTTTACACTGTCTGGACCCCATATATAGAAATGCAGGCCAGCCCGCATGAAACAATTTTTTAAAAAAATAAGTGATTATCACTTAAGAGGATTATATCTCTGTTTTTTAATCCAAAGTGGTAATTGTATACTAGTCGACTTGATTAGAACTATGACACCCTTTGATACACCAAATCTTAGCATATATTAGCGATAACCATCGTGAAGGGAGGGGCATCTTTTCTTGACTGCCTGATTTCTCGTGTTCACCTTCACTCTCTCAGGATTATATATCTTTGTTTTTTAAATTAAAAGTGGTAATTGCGTATTAATCTATTTAATTAGAACTGCGACCCTTGATACACCAAATCTTATCCTGCATTAGCGAGAACCTTCGAGAAGGGAGGGCCACCTTTTCAGCTTCACTTCACTGCATTACTTTTTATGTTCATCTATTTTTTTTTAAGTTTACCCTTGACGCCCCTCTCTCTCCCTACGGTGTTTTTGTATTTCTCATATAGGGGCATACTATTTATTTACTTCCTCGAGTAATATTCAACATAAGAATAATTTTCGGGCTCTAATTTTTTTATGGATGTAATATCTTCAACCCATAGCTTAGCCTCAGTAAAATTTTGAATTAAACCTTCTGTGTACTAAAAATAATAATGTCTCAATATCGAACCGATCCAATTTTTAAAGGGCATGATCGAAATGTCAAAAAACTTAAAATTCAAAATTTGTCTTTTGAAGATAATGATCAAGTGATTTTTTTAGTGGTTATCAAAATTTCAAACTGAAAAAAAAAAAAAAAAGAGTAATGATTCTATGAAACCTCTCACACCCATGTGTGTAGGACCCCAAAATGATCATCATTCAATTTAGCACAGATCTCTAGAAAAGTTATCACATAGGTGTGAGACTTGAGTTTTCTAGAGATTTGTGCCAAATATAAAAGTGATCTTTTGAGATCTTACACAAATGGGTATGAGATGGTCTCTTAGGATCATTACTCAAAAAAAAAATATTGCCCCCAGTACGTATTTTGATTGAGCGAGTACATACAAAGCAATGCTCTTGCAAGTTGGCTCTCTAACCCGACCCCAGGCTGGACCAAGTTTGTGTGACTCCGTAACCCGGCTCTAAGAAAGCACGACTCGGCCCCGTAACCCGGCCCTAGCCTGGACCAAGTTCGTGTAGCTCAGCCCCATTAGGTAGGTGCTGAGCATACCAAAAAGTGTTAAAAAAATTAAAATATATAAAAAGCTCAAACAATATGTTTAAAATAAAATTAAACAACACTGAGGTTGAAAAACTAGTGAAAAAATGGATTTTGAAAAAATCAATTTGTGGTCGGGGGTATTTTAGAAATAATTCAAAGTATTTTAGAAATAATTAAAAAAGAAGGAAAATTGTAAAACTAAGTATTCATTGCCAAACACTTTTTAATCTTTACAAACTAATAGAAAACACAAAAATAAATAAATAAATATCTTATTTTTTAGAGTTTTTTTTTCTTTTCATTCTAATTTTTTTTAAGATCCCAAACTTGATACAGCGAGCTCGAGTTAGTACGAGTTGGCACGCCCTAGTAGTTGAACACTATACATGCCCGTGTTACTTGGGTGAGTATTAGGGGTGGCAATGGACCCGACCTAACCCAGGATCCAACGGGTATACTCGACCATAGGCCCAGGTATGGGACCAAATTTTGGACCCAAATAATACTATTCGAGTCTGGGTCCAACTGTACCCAAACCATACCCCTAGTAATAGGTTATATGATGGCAATCATGTGTCTTTAAGCGCGAGCTAGGTGTTCATATTGTCACAATATTGATAATATATACAACATTTTTGGAAAAAAAAAAAAAAAAGGAAGCTCATAATCATAGTGTATATGATGGTTAAAAAAAAGCACAAGAAAAAAGATAAAAAAAGCTCATAATCATAGGGTGGTAAAAAATCCGACCAGACTTGGGACTAGATAAGTAGACTTGTAACCCGACTAATGTGAGTATGGATCCAAATTTTAGACTAAATACTATTAGGGTCTGGGTCCAGATCCGGGTCTAGCCGGAGCCCCGAGTAGTCGAAGACTATACGTGCCGCTTATTTTTTACCGTAACGTGCTCCCCTCGCTCCTTCTCTATTCCTTATTATCTCATGCAAACAATTTTTCTTTCCCCTGCCTTCCCTCTCTCTCTTTCTCCGGAATACTAATGGTCTCCTTTTCTCTCTCTAAATAGAAGGCCACTAAAGTTACAAGTACAAAAAGCTAAAGAGCGTAGCTTTATTTTGTTGTCGGATGGAGATATTTGGGATGACGACCCTTTTTTTGTCTGTGATTTTATTCTATAAAACCATTTATCATAGTTATAAGCAGGTAACAATTATTTCTAATCATTAAATGTCAATTTGAAGTTCGAAATTTTTTTTGTAGAACTTGAAATTAGCCAATGATTCTCTCCCAACACTTATTTAAAATATGTGAGTAAGAGTATTTGTGATGTGAGTCGGCAAACAACCCATACACGAGCTACTTTTTAACCAACGAGCTTCATTTGAGTAGAACAAAAGACCCTTAAATAATTGTAACCTCTTTTTTTTTGGGGTGCGGTTTGTATCGATGCTCTAAATAATCAAAGTAAAACCTTTTTTCTAATAGTATCGATAAATGTAGTTTTAATATTGAAAATCTTTGTGATAGCCTTAAAATATATTTTTATCTGAAATTATAAAATTTAAAGTTTAAAAAATAGTGCAGATTGAGCATATCTATGAAAACTTCAAAATCTTGACGGTAAAAAAATGTATTACAAGATGCATTACTTCCAAAACTCGAAATCCATTTTTTTTCTCATATCTATGCATCTTGATATTAAGATGATTAATTTAAGGATATTTGGGCATAAAAAAGAACTTCTTCTAGTAAAATTTTTGAGGTGGGCTCTAATTTGATCGTTTAGAGGCTCAGCTCTATATAAACTATTTCCTTTTTTATTTTCATTAATACTTTGTTGAAGTTAGGGATATGCATTTCAGTGTACGTAAAAAGCCATGGTATTTTAACCAAGTGAGGCACAAATTTGGTGCCACTATGTGAGGTTCAGAGCTCAATGGCAATCATTGTTGATGGAGGGTTTTATGGAGATATGATCACGCTAAGTGGGCCAGTGTTCCCCACCTGTCTACGAAAAAAAAAATTGAAGACAACTTGTTCGATTTTTGAAAAGATGGTCAGATTTGGGTGTTAAGAAATTTAGAATCCATTAATTCTTCATACTGGAGGGAAGAGCATGATATAGGTGCACAAACTTTTTTATGCCCTCGAATCATGAGTACTTTAGTGTTCCTAACACCCAAATCTGACCATCTTTTCAAAAATCGAACAAGTTGTTTTCAATTTTTTTATTTTATTTTTTGTAGATAACTGGGGAATACAGTACCCGTTTTCAAATGTTATTTTTTCAGGCACACTATCAACTCCCTATGTTTTAGGTTGATCGCTAATTCCAGTTTACATCCCTCAAGTTGGTTCCTAAATATGTTACAAGTAGGGTTTTTCTTTTACTCGGGGTGGAAACGGGATGAACGTGGACCAAAACTTGAATAGTATTCGGGTCCAGGTTTTCTACTTAGACCCGATCCGTCGGGTCTAAAAGTTGGACTCATACTCATATATGTCGGGTCCCGGGCCTATTGCCACCCTCACTATGAGCTCTTTTTTTTTTTGGTCTTTTTTTTACTAACATATACTTATATTATTAGTAGCAAGGACACAATCATCTGCTACTAGATTTTAAGCCGTCTGATTTGTTGTGTTATAGCATAAAATGATATCGAGTTTTTAATGTATATGATATTTAATACACCCAAACAAATAGAGCTTAAACTATTTTATCTCCAATAGTTTACTTGTGTTGGTCGGTCCAACCAGACCCAAACCTAAATCCAAATAGTATTCATATCCAAGTTTTAGACCTAGACTCAACCATCGGGTCCAAATATTGGACCCATACCCAAATCCATGCTGAGTATACCCAGCAGGTCGCAGGTCCGGTCCCGGTCCCGGTCCCGGTCCTTTGCCACCTCTATTTTTACTCAAGGGACCCGTTAGAGCTTATGACTTTTGACATACAACTTTTAGCAAATTTTTATACCTCTCTCTCTCTCTCGTAGGCTTGCCCAATTACAAATCCTAAGCATGCACAGACCATCCTCCAATGAATGGCGGACCAAGGGCGCTGTCCGCCACCTTCAATCGCATGCACCACATTGCCCTCCACCTCCTGTACTCTTCCAATCAAACCGTCACCACACTCTTTACTCTCAAACAACTCCATGTCTACCTCCTCAAAGCCCAACTCCACCACCTCCACTCCAAGTTTCTCTTACACTGCTCCAAGCTACTAATAAACCCAAGTTACGCCTCCTCATTCTTCACCCAAATCCCCACCCCAAATTCATTCGAATTCAACACGATTATCCGAATTCTTCAAACTAGTGGCGAACCCCAACAAGCCCTATCCATCTTTCGCAGAATGCATGACGAGAATGTGCAGTTCGACCACTTTACGCTTCCCTTTATGGCTCGAGCGTGCGTGGAGTTGTCGAACCTGGGTCTCGGCCAAGTGGTGCATGGTCAGGCTGCGAGGCTTGGATTGGACGCCGATGTCTTTGTTCAAACGAGCCTCATTGAGCTGTATATGGGTTGCGAGTGTGTACCAGAAGCGAGACAAGTGTTTGATGAGATGCCCAAGAGAGATGTGGTGGCTTGGACAGCGATCATATCTGGTTATGTGAACAAGTGCAGGGATATGGGGGTTGCATGTCAATTGTTTGAGGAGATGCCGGATAAAGATGTTGTTTGTTGGAATATTGTGATTAGTGGGTTCATCAAAATTGGTGATATGGGTAAGGCTAGTGAACTTTTTTGTAATGCTCCCATCAAAGATTTGCTCATGTGCAATACAATTATGGCTGGATTTGTCACGGTTGGGGATTTTGAGGCGGCTTACAAAGTGTTTGATGAAATGCCTCGAAGAGATGTCGTTTCTTGGAACACTTTGATTAGTGGATTAGTTCAAGGTGGGCTTTTCAATGAAGCGATAAGCTTGTTTCGTCGGATGATGAAGGAGGGTATTGAACTTAATGAGGTGACCATAGTTAGCGTTCTATCTGCATGTGCCCAAATGGGTGCCCTAGACTTGGGTAGATGGGTTCACAGTTATATTGATAGGATGGGGTTTAGAGTGAGTGTTCTGATAGGAACTGCCTTAGTGGATATGTATTCCAAGTGTGGAGCCCTCAAAGTAGCTCGACAGGTGTTCGAGGTGCTCTCGGACAAAGATGTGGCCTTGTGGAATGCGATGATTTTGGGTCTTGCTATGCACGGAAAAAGTAAGGAGGCTTTAGAATTTTTTGATCAAATGGAGGGAGAATCAGTGAGACCAAATGAGGTTACAGTGCTTGGAGCTCTATGCGCATGTAGCCATGCAGGGTTGGTAACTGAAGGGCAAAGGATCTTTCGCTCAATGGGCTCTACATTGGGGCTTAAGCCTCGGCTTGAGCACTATGGGTGCATGGTCGACCTCTTGGGTCGTGCTGGCTTGTTGAACGAGGCCTATGAATTGATAAAAGGGATGCCAATTGAGCCTCATGTTGGAGTTTGGGGTGCTTTGCTTGGTGCCTGCAAAATTCATGGCAATGTAGAATTAGCTGAGTTATCATTTGAGCGATTGCTTGAATTGGACCAGAGAGATGGAGGATACTCTGCCATCCTATCTAATATATATGCCAATGCGGGTCGGTGGGGTGATTTTGCGAGGGTGAGGGAGATGATGAGAGAAAGAATGATCTATAAGGAGCCTGGTTGTAGCTCCATCGAGATAAATGGCGAGGTTCATGAATTCGGAGTGAGAGATAAAGCTCACCTTCGATCCAAGGAGTTGTGTAAGATGCTTGAAGAGATTTCGAGGAGATTGAAAATGGTTGGTTATGTTGCCAAGACATCTGAGGTGTTCTTTGATGTACAAGAGGAGGAGAAAGAGCTGGCATTGTGTTATCATAGTGAGAAACTAGCTATTGCGTATGGCTTGATTCACACTGATAGTGGGGCTACCATTCGGATAGTGAAAAATCTAAGGGTTTGTGGTGATTGCCATACTGCAACGAAGCTCATTTCCAAAATATTTGATCGAGAAATTGTCGTTAGGGATCGCAGTCGATTCCACCACTTTAGAGAGGGTTCGTGTTCTTGTGGAGATTATTGGTAAATGCATTCAGGCCTTCCATGCCTGAAGGGTAGCAAGCACATTGTTGTATTTGCATTTTTTGTGTACAGTATTTAGCTATGTACAGTTGCTCCAAGAACTTTTGCACTAAATCTCTAACAAAACTTTTTTAGGTTGAAATAATTTCCATCATTTACAAAATACCGAGAATACATGGTGGTTTACTATGTACTAACAAAGCATGTTAGCCATCGCCCCACATTTGATACTCTCCTGGTTTTGTCGACATAATAAATGGCCTGCCATAGCTTGTAAATATTTTTATTTTTAAACATTTAGGATTTCAGTGTGAATGAAACTCTAGGCATCAACACCTTGCCACTATGGCCACCATATGACCTTATAGCTAGCGAATGCTTTTCTTGCCTTTACTAATCATAGGTTCAAGTTTTGCCCTTTTTTTTTTTAAATCTGACGATTTTTAATCTAGATCGCCGATTCAGATAGGAATCGGATGGGACCGGACTAGTTCCAAGGTATGGGTCCGGTTCCCCCTAAAACCCTCTTATATATTTTTTTATTTTTCATTTTTAAAGCTTCTCTCGTATTGTTTTTTTTAGGTCCTTTTTAAATCCCCACCCCATAAACCTCTATTGTAAATTATATTTTATTTCATTTATTTTTTAATATTTTCTACATAACCAATTCAGACCGATCCAGATCATTGATCAAGCGATCCAACACTTAATACGTGTTAACACTACAAAACACATGCTCCAAAGCTCATAGGTTAAACTTCTTTTATGTTTTCCCTTGAGGGTACGTGGATTTGGCTGAATGTTGGAACTATTCGTAGTGCTTTATAGCATGGAAAATTCATTTAGTATATATATATATATATATATATAGTGGGGTTCAACTTGGTAATCTAGGAGGCTTGGAATTCTGGTTATAAATTCCCAAGGGAACCCCCTTCATACGTTACAAAATAGGAGGAGTTTTTATTGACTTCTGCCAACTCTTGGATCTGCACGGTTTTCAGGGGTTTTGAACCTAAAACACATCGTAAATTACTACAAATTTATTTTTACCTGATGTTCATAAATTCTGAGCTAAAATTCATGATGATTTTTAGTTAATGAATCTCGTGGTTAACATTCAAAAAAAGACGAAGAAGCAAATTTCGCAATCTTTGAAGAATTGAAATAAATGGTAAAGCGAAGAAAAAAGGAAGAAGAAGAATGTTCAAAATTTTTTTTTTTTTAGTTCAAGATAATGGCGATCCTATTTTGGATCCAAATTCATTTTCCAATTTGTCAGGTTGCTTTGACAAATAATAATCATCAACAACATCTAAGTCTTATCTGAACTATTTGAAGTTACTTTGATATATATCAAAAGCCAAAAAGGCTTAACATTCACATGAACACATCTAAGTCCCTTTCAAAATTATTATTTTGAACAACATCAATCAAATTCTACTTTGTAGCTAGGGACAAATTTTCCTTGAGTGATTGAAATGAGCATGTCATCTGATTTGTCCATCTCAATAAATTGGATACAAAGTTATGCAATTCAAACTACTATAACATAATCTGTGTCTCAGCGCTATAACACCTAACGCTTTACTCTTGCAAGCTACAACTGTAGGTCATGCTTTCAATTTATCCCTTTGAATTTGCTTAACCCCAATCCAAAGATTGAAAAACCCTAAAAATGACTCTTTAGAGCTCGTTTACCTTAACCATTCAAAACTCACCCAAACTAGGTTAATTTCTTTCTCAAATCATATGAATCCAATAATCTTTCAAATGGTTCAAGAACCACCAAATTTTGATTTATGATTTGAATAATATGGGTCAATACATGGTTGTTGGCGGTAGGAGCGGATTCGGGAGTGGGATCAGTTCGGGAATGCCGAAACCACCATAAGGGGAAGTCCCTTGGATAGGATTAACATCCACATATTCAATAAATTAAGGAGGTAGACCCTAAGTTAACATACATAAAACAAGGGACTTAGATGCATACTAGGGCAATTCCGAGCCGACTAGGGTGGTTCCAAACTAGCTCGGTAGTTTTTTTTTCACAAATTGGACCTATTATTGATAGGACTACATGATCACTACAAGCTCGTTACATTCTATTTTATGATTTCGTTATAGGGAGTGGTGCAATGTTTTTAGACTCGTGGCCATGGCACGAGCCTAGTAATATACTGGGCCCGGAAGACCCTTATTTTTAAAATAAAAATAAAAAAATGTTAAAAACGAAATAAAAACTTGAAAAGTAAATCAAAACTAAATACTAGCATAAGGAATCTAAATAAGCTGAAAGATATATAAATAGATATAGAAAAGTTTAATTTCCAGTTGGACATATTTCAGGAAAAATACAAAAGTAATTGGTCAAAAGAAAATACAAAAATATGGTACTTGATCATTAAAACCGACCATTGTAAAGTATATCCAAAATGCATGTATAACTTGTATATTTTTATCCTACAAGTTTACATTTTTTGTATTTCCATATTCTTATTTTTTTTTATAAACCCAGCTACTCAACTTGGCTCGGGGCCAAGTTTATATTTTTTATATTTTTATATTTTTATTTTTTTATAAACCCAGATACTCAACTTGGCTCGGGGCCGAGTCTGAGTGGACTTAACCAATGAAGTAGAGTGTTATTGTTTGTTTCGAAGGTGACTTAGATGATCCCTTCGAAAATCCATAAACTTCATAATATCGATGAAAAGTTCTAGTTAAATGAATCATTCAAGGATTTTAGTTATCTATAGTTATACATATTTCTATAGAAAAGTATCACATAGCCTTTTCAAAAGCTTTATAGAAAACACAATTCCCCGACTCAATTCAATCCCTTTGTTGCCTTCGTGAATGTGACAAAATTATTATGTTTCTATACATCTTTTTCACTTCTCTAATGCACAATTTTTACAACTTATTATGCACTGGAAAATTACCTATTGTGCTTAACTTCTTATATATATATTTTTTTTAATTTTCTTGAGTTCGATCGTAGTGGAGATCCTCCTCAATTTGAAGACAATGTTTTTCCGATCAATGAGATATTCTTAGGGCCCGATTGCCTCATTGGATTCCGATTTCCAGAACTCACCTTTCCTGGAAAAGCTGGGCCAATTGTGTTTGGTTCGCTTAGAATTGACATTTACGTTCGAATTGAGATTTTTTTGGGATTCTTGAATGCTCATTTTAAGCCTAAATTTTAGAAATTTGAATTGTACTAATATAGGTGGAATTCACATTTCATGGAAGTGATCCATTTTGCTGCTGAAGAACAAAAAGAAAACTAAAATTTAGAGAGAGAAACTGTATAAAATTTTAAAGAGAGAAAACATCTTAAAATTTTAGAGAGGGAAACTATATCAATCTCTCCTTTCCAAGTGGTGGTGGAGGAGCCTAGTCCTTAAAGATTTGTTGTGGTATCAGGTGGTGGTGGCAAAGTATGGTGTGGACAGATTTCAGATGTGGGTGGAAGCAAGAAATGGGTCACAAGGGCCGGCACTATAAGTGGTCGGGTTTGATGCCTTTGAAATACCTCTTTCCAGCCATCTTCCAATATATGGCAAACCCTAATGCCACGGTTGCTGAGATGTTTGCTCGTAGGGGTTCTCGAGTTACCTGAGATATCCATCTCCCTTATTGTGGGGTTCTTGATGTCGTTTTTTAGGAATTTGTGGGGCTGCAATCTCTTCTTCATGATGTCTATATGACTTTGAATGCTTCATATACTGTTTTTGGGAGATTTGAGCTGATGGTCAGATCGTTGTCAAATCCATGTATGACTTTCTATTCCATGCCCGGTGGAGGTGGTTGATGCTAGAGATAGCCTTCTTATGGTTGGTTGTCCAAAATAAGGTTCTTACCACCGACAACCTGATCAAGAGAGATAAAGTATTGCCGAATGTTTGCTTGCTTTGCAAGTCGGACGTTGAAACTGGTCCGCATTTATTTCTTCACTGCCCTTTTACCCTTTAATTATGGCATTGGTTTTTTTGATAAAATGGGGTTTCCCATTATCATACCTGTTGAGGTTATTGGTATCATCTAAAACTTGTCTGCGCTGCTTCTCAAGTTTGGGATGTCCCTGTGGCAGATTGCGCGTGGCCTGATCCTGTGGGAAGTGTGGAAAGAAAGGAATAGAAGAGTGTTTAATGGCTGTAGTCTCCCTTTTGAGAGGTTATTGCACAAAATTCTTTACGATCTCTGACACTGTTGTTCTATCACTAAGGAGGGGGTTGATATTTTAGAAGATGATGTGAAGAGAAATTTTCCTATTCTTTTCTTTTTGAGATCCCAAAAGTGTAGACTGCATGGTAGATAAGTGCCTCCTTTGGAAGGCACCTTCAAACTTAACTTTGATGGGAGCTCTCTTGGCAATCCAAGCAGGGCTGCCTAGGGGGGTGTGGTGAGAGACTCAAGTGGACGGGTTAGTTTTTCCTGTGCAAGGCCGTTAGGGATCTCTACAACCAACCACGCGGAGATGCTGGCTCTCCTCAATGGCCTGAAATTGTTCATTGAACGGGATATTGGTCAGTCTTGTATTGTGGAGGAGGACTCTCTCAATTTTATCAGCTGGTATAATGGGGTTCTTAAGCCACTTTGGGAGCTTAGGTCTTCCCTGTTGCAGATTTGGGACCTTTCTAAGTTTCTTGTTATTTCTTTTGTGCATGTCTTTCGTGAGGCAAATGTTTCAGCCGACTCTCTCGTTAAAAGGGGGACTTCCCTGTCTTTGGCTATTTGCTCTGACTCTGGAACCTCATTTTGATTCTCAATAAAATCACAGAACTTCTTTCAAAAAAAAAAAAACTACATCAAATTTTAGAGAGAGAAAGTATATGAAATTTTTTAGATAGAGAAAATAAACAAGTTTTTAGTGAGAGAAGCTATCTCAAATTTAAAGTTTTAGAGATACCATATTAAAATTTTAGAGTGAGAAACTATCTCAAATCGTAAATTTTAGAGAGAGAAAGCATCTTAAAATTTTAGAGAGAGAAACAACATTAAATTTTAGAGAGATGAACTACTTAAATTTTTTTTTGCAAAGAAATATCTCAAAACATTTAGAAAAAATTTATATCAAATTTTAAGTTTGAGAGAGAGAGAGAGAGAGCATATTAAAATTTTAGAGATTAGAAACTATATCAAATTTTAGATAGAG